GTTAAATAAAGATCTTTGGATTTTATTTTCTCCTCTTCATTTCCACCCATGTCTGGCTCAACGTGTCCTTAAATGAATCTACCAGATGTGTAAATATTTTCAGCAGAAACGTTTGTTACAACATGAAAAGGTGGTGACTCTTTCTTCTGCTCAGTCAGTTCTGTTCCTAAAGTCAAGCTGTGAATGCTGCAGCCTTTGGGGCAGGAAGCAGATGGAGCCGTGTCCTTCATTGCATCTAAAATAAAACAGAGGGCACTTCAGCGTCTCTTCTTAAGCGACTCCCTGCGTCACCTGCGCTTTGCACCGTTTCCAGGTCAGCTGCCAACATGAGGATGAGAAAAGGAGACGCGTTTTCCCAGGAAACCTTTCCTTAAGGAATTAGAGTCAAAGAGAAAGAGCCGCTGACCTCCCAAGAGTCCGGGATCAGGAAATCAGGAAGGAATGGAAGGAAGAATGAACAGACACTTGCGTCATTCGTCATCTCTTCCTGCCCTGGATTTGTTGACAAGGTCTCTTACACAAGAAGATTTAGAGATGCATTATCTGCTGCTAACAGAAGATAGAAAGGGAATCAGAGGCAACCAACCAGCCATCCCTCTGAACTGTCACTTCACATCTGTCAACACCGAGCAGAAATAGCAGCAAACATGCAGACTCAAGCAACAGTCTGCAGCTTTTAGTGATACAGGCCTGCAAGTAGCCAAGAAACTTTAAAGTATTCTTGTTTTCATTCACTAAACCATGTGGATTCAACTGGGATACGTTGAAATAAACCGCAGCATGCTGGGACACTTTTAGTTCTTAGACAAGGGTCTTTGTGTTCTAGTTGTAAAACTATGCAGTTACACATCTATTCTCATTACTGCAAGACACAAAACAACAACTGATCCCTGTAACGTCGTTTACTCTGAGATGAATCATTCAAGCTCTCAGGAAACGTTCAGGTCTTCTGGAGTCCAGAGGGAGAAAAGGGAAACTCGTAAAGAGAACAAAGAGGTGTCGGTAGGCATCTCCTAAAACCTGCCAACTTACACAAAACACATGTGAACAGCTAAAAGCAACATAAGCACAGACAATGCTGTAGTAATATTCAATAAGTTATAGAATAGATTTTGATTAGATACATTTGTCAGCTTAAATGTAGCTTTTGAAAATCACATTTAAGCTGGTATTATATATATAATTTTAATGAATCCCACATTTCTGTTTTAACAAGGTTTTTTATTGGTTTGTTGTTCAGATTTCAGCCTCAGTCTGGAATCAAACAGACTGGATTAGGAAACATCAGCAGCCTTCTGGAAAACTGCAGTTAGGATGTATCTGTGGATAAACTCAGAGAACCATGATTACAATAAGTAATGGTAACCATGGTAACTGTAACAATTACTCATAGATAATAAAAGCTGCTTGAATGTCACCTTTTTAATAGTTTTAAAATGTGAGTTAAAACTTGTTTACAGTGATTGGTGGATTATGAAGTGACCAGTCACACATGTAAACACTAAGTGGACCAGGAAACACTCCAAAAGCAGGAAATGGACTACAGCACAGGGCATTCTGGGTAAATAAATCCAACCAAAGCCAGAGCAGGTTTGAGAGTCTGTTGCTAGCAGGAGAAAAGCCTCCAGGTTTTAAAGTGGTGGTGTTTACAGAGCAGAGTGGAGAAGGACATTGGGCTCAGGGTCTTCAGAGGGTTTTGTTTCATTTCCTTCAGTGGTTCTTGCTGCAGCGCCCCCACAGGCCAGAAGGGGAACAGGTTGGTTTGACTCAGAGCAGAGAGAGAGAACCACAGTAGCTGGAGGTGGAGCAGATGACAGAGTTCTGGTTCCTAATCGGACCGGGTCTACCGGACTATCAGGTGTTAGCCATTTAAACCAAAACTAGTAAAACCTGGAGACTAAAGAAACATCCATGACTGTTTAGTGGTTCAGTGTGACTAATTATAAACCAAACCCAAAGCATAACAACGCATAACAGCATCACCTCAGATCCAGAATTCATCACAGTTCAGCAACGCTCTGTTCTTTGTAACATGAAATATAGACAAAACTTCAAAGATTTTTACTGTAAAACAAACACAAGTCAACACAGAAACCGTCTTTCATCAGAAGGCCAAATGTTGGCTGAAACCAACGCAGTGAGGAACAGTAATGAGGTGATCATCCAAGAATCTCCAACTGCTTTACAGCAAAATGATCCTGTAGTTTATTTCCAGCTGACTGATGCTTTGTCACACTGAGTGCAGAAACATGTGCAGGTAAGAGCCAACTGTATCCAAACTGACTTACGACACGGTGATCCGTTTATCTTCACTCAGCCTTCCTCGCTCATCATCACTCGGCTTCCACCTCCACGTCAGATAAAGACCCGACACCCAGATATAAACCCAAGGAACCGGATCAAAGACGGCTCAGAGCTCGTCTGCCAAAAACACCATTCTGAGCAGAGAGTCTCTCTCCAAGTATTTCTCCAAGCAACAAACTGTCAGCTTCAGTAAGTGCTACTGAATATAATTTGCTTGGAAGCTCTCCTCAGGTAGGTTTCTCATCTTGCAACACCTTCGTCTAGATTTCGCATGGAACCCCCAGACGTGCAGAACATGAATAAATCTGGATAGAAATCATCCGGAGGGCTGTTTTTGGATGTTTCTTGGACACTTGGGAGTAATTTGTTATTGCAGGTGGCCCCTTACAAGCCCAGCGTTCCTTCTCAAGTATCCCAGAAAGAAAGAAAACAAAGCCTCTCAGGCTGAAAGTACAGCACTTTATTTAATTGCTCTGCGCAGATATTTCACAGAAAAGGTTCAGCTTTTGATGATGAATCATTTCTTCTTTTTTTGCTTTAGTAGCAAGGACTTTGCATGAGTAAAAGAACAGCATTATATCAGTCTAACCCTAGTTTTCCATAATCCCCTCAGATGGCAAAAGGGAGGGATTTGTGGGTCAGCGCTGAACGCCTCCCCTCCCCCACCCAGCAAACATTCAGACACATGCATGCATCCCGCCCCGAACAAACCAGAAACAAATTGTATCAGAACAATGACCTACAAACCGCATCCCAACGGGAATTATTCTCAAGCTTTCAGATCAGATTCCATGAAAACCCTCAGCAGCAGCAGCAGCAGAACAAACCCAGGAGAGTCCGTACTTCCTAACGTCACATCAGCCAATGAGCTCAGATTAAAGACAAGCTGTGCACGGCGCTGCTTCTGGCATCCCGTAGAGATCCATTAATGGACCTGCAGTAAAAGATGTCAGCAAACATCTCAAACAAAAGATGAAGGAAAACAGGAAGTAGAACATGATCTCATTTCTGCAGAAAAGATCCTGAGGCTGTCATTTTTTCTGGGTGAATCTCTGCAGCACAATTATATCTAAGTTTAGTTGAACTAATTAACCTCACACAGCTAATTACTTCAGTTATTGATAACAATCTCTGCTGGAAGAAAATCACAGGAAATAAGTAGAAGAAAGATGTACACCATCTGGCCAAAATGGAGAAGGAAAAAAGATCTCCATTGCATTAACACAGAGTAGCATTTATGATGACGAAATATGACATTTTCTTTTTAAAACCTTTATAACACAACTGAATGTGTTTCTGCAGTTTTATGCCAATGATGCTTCAGCTTCATCCCCATGCAGTTCAAAGTCAGACTGCAAATCATTTACACATAAAACCATACGAAGCAGGAGCTTCTATCAGGTAAATCTGTAGAGCAACACAGCATGGCAGACAATGGCTGCATACACTGAAAAATCAAACATTATGGGCTTTAGTATTTTCAAATGAAAAACTTTATATTTCCAGACATGTTGACCAACCTGCTCTCCTTATTAGCTTGAAAATATATTGCTATTAAAAAAGCAATCTTGAAAACCAGCATGGCTGTGCAGTTTGACAAATCAATTGTAATAAACTAAACACTGAAAAATCTAAGCTAAGTACAATGGAAGGCTCATTCCAAGTTCTGCAGAAGCTCTGTCTACACGGAAGAAGATAACAGATTCTGAAGGATTCAGCTAATAACTAAAACTTGGAGCAGTAAAGCTGAGATGATGAGTTGATCAATTATGTGACGATAAGAGGGACATCCTCCATTCTTCACCACACTGTGAGTTTATTCACGTCTTCAAGACTGAAAACTAAAAGACGTCAGATTAAAAGTTTAATTTATGAACAAGCAAAGCGCCATGCTGCATATTTTAGATGTTATGCATTACATTTCCATTTTGTCAACACTGGATTTACTGTAGTCACATTAGACCTTCTCTCAGTCTGCAGTGATGATTTAGATAATTACAATGTTTACGCTGCAGTCCCACATGCTTCCACTTGTGTCAATTGAAACAAATACAAGCATTTCTGAATATGATTAACTTTAATTCAACAGAATCAACATAAAAATGTTTGAAATGGATTTCCATGGGTGGCTGCGAACTCTCCACACATCAGTGGCTTTCTGCAGGAACTAATGTTTGCCTCACGCAGACGATTCTCTCGTTTGACGTACTAAATCTGTGTTGAGTGGAGTAACATAAACTGGAGCTGCAGATGGGAACAATTAACAGTCAAGCCACTTTTTCAATCCACTTTTTAGTTCAGCTGAGTAAATTGTGTTTTATTAGGCCTTCAGAGTGGGATGAACAAATTAATTTGTTTACGGTGTAAATCACAGGCTCTTTACTCAAAGCCAATATGTGTAAATCAGTCAGTGAGCTGTGGGCTTTCACACATCTATGCATTAGATAATTTATTTAGCAATAACTTGATCCTGTATTCGTCTGCATGGTGCTGGAGGCGATCCCAGTTAACACACAGCGAGAGCAGGAGAGCTCCCAGTTCAAACCAGTTTAGTCACGTAAAAGATGCTAAATTCACTCTGGAGGATCCGGAGGCGTCTGCAAAACCCACAAAACCCGAGCTGATCCAGGAAACGCTGCGTTACCTTTTTATTGAAAGGGAGAAGCATTGCTACTGGTTTTTAGAGTCTAACTGGTTCTACTGGTCGCCACTGGTCTGATGCACCAACTGTTATGTTAGACAGGTACAGTCTGGAGAGGCTCATCAGTCTGGAGGCCGCAGACAAAAAGTCCCACTGGCTGTAAACTGGAGGCTAACTGGAAACGTACTCTGATGGGGTCATAAAAATACAACATTTACTCTCTCTCACACACACACACACACACACACACACACACACACACACACACACACACAACTCGTCAATGTACCCAAATGAACATTTTACATCTAAATGATCCCTGAGGAATCACAGCCTCATTATCCTAAAACTTTTTTGACAACTGATTTAAACTAAATTACTTCTTTAGTCTGTAAATGTTTTGATTTAAATTCATTCATTCATTCCTCTTGAACTTGTTCATATTTTCTTGTGTTCAATGTTTTTTAATGAGTTTCTGTGACAGATGGACACAGTGGTCATGTTTCCATCAGCGTTTCTTCTGCACATTTTTTAAATCACATTAGAAAATGTTGATGGAAACGGCAACATTCAAAAACTTCCACTTATTACAGCCACGCGTAGCGTCATCATCTGATGAAATCACGCTTCATGTCCTGGTAGAGTCGCTCCGCACCAGCAGATGGAAACACGCCTGACTCACATTTTATTTTTGAAAATTTCAGACTTGTGTAAACCAGAAGCAGAAATGTGATGCTGCAGAAAAGATGCTGAAATCAAATGTTACCTTCTCTTAATTATTCACTACTCTGTGTTGGTTTGTCCCTAAAATCCCAGTAAAATACACTTTAGTCTGTGGCAAAACACAACAAGGTTCAAGAAGTACAAATACTTTTTCATCGTATTTCCATTCCAACACTGCAAACAGGAAATGGTTACTATTTTATGACTCTTCTCTCAGATCCACCTGAGCTGAGTGTTTGCATGGATCCGGCCTGCTGGGTTGTTTTCTCCCGCCGTGTTTGCTGCTCAGGAGGAAAACGTCAGCCAGAATCCCAGCAGCCCTTCACAGGCTCAGGTTGCAATGTTTTACATGAACACGGGAAGTTTTTCCAGAGGTAATGAGATTCTGTGCCAGCTCATGAAAAAGTGCACTCAGAGGGCCCCAGGGGCAGACAAAACAGCATTAACTATTAAGGCGGCTTAAATGGAAAGAAATTCCCTGTGTCAACCTCATTTCCCAGTGAAGGAGAGAGGAAGCCATAATCTGGAGAGGAACATGTTGACAGAACGTCTGTTTTCAGCTCATGGTTTGGTTTTGGTCATCAATGAAACAGAGAGGTGTGAAGGAAATGTCCTGGCTGCGGATTGTGATCCTCTGACTCACATATTAAAGCTTCTGTAGCAGAAAAACCAAAATAATGAATATATCTGATGAAGCTGCATCATAGAAACACACAGCAGCTAATAAAACTAGTTCTACTAAAGCACTGTAGAATTTACTAGAAGCTAATGCTAAAATGCTAAATTCAACCTTAATACCCACAATAACACAGCATGGGTCAGAGCTGGGTAGTAACTAGTTACATTTACTTAAGAGTACTTTTACTGTGCTGTACTTGAGTAATTTTATTACTTTTTTATTATTATTTGATCAGTTACTCGGTACTTGACTAGACGTTTTACCAAACACTTATTTACTCTTGAGAAATTTCTTGGACAGATTCATGAAAAGTTCTTACCAGTTGATAACAAAACATCGACAGTTTGTGTTTTCAAATTTATCTGGAAAGCTTCATTTAGGGGAAGCCAAGTGTGCTAAATGAAACATTCGCTCCATTAGCAGAATGTGTCCACCAATGGAAATACATTTTATTAAACAGAAAAAGAAATGCAAAGTTTTTATGAAGAACAGCAATATAAATGAAAAGCAAGATTATTTTCTGGTTTTTATTTTTGTACTCTGATAATCTTTGGGGAACTTGTCTGCACAAAGTTTCCCTGACTTGTTGAAAACGTGAGTTATTTCTGGCTGTGTTGTGATGTCGTGTGGAGTTGTAGCAGATGCTCAAAGTGTTTGTGTTCCTGTTGTTTTAGTGTCACTGAACCGGGCCGCTCCATTAATCCTCTGCTGATCTAATCAGGTTCAGAGAGCGGCGTGGCCTCGCTCTGGTTACAGACTGTCCGCTGTGGGCGAGTCATGTCCGCCACAAACATGGACCTCAAATCAAGACGGAAAACAGCCTGTAAGCCTGCTGCATGCAGCTGTGATTAACACTGAGCCGATTTAATCACATGGCGCTGTGAACAAGAGATCTTTGATAAGAGAGTTCAGAGGAGGACGGGTTTTCTCCGAGGAAAACATTTTCTGCCTGTTTGACCTGAAATAAGTCAGGAAAGAGGGAGGATTCCTTTCAGCCTCGCAGTCGTTTATAAAGCTGAATTACAGCTGCAGCCAAAACGTTCTGGCCTCATGATGCAAACTCTAATTCATCTCCCTTTTTGGATTTTGACTTACAGCCCAGGTGCAGACAGAGACATCCATCTAAATGTTATTACAGCGTTTGCATCAGTGGACGTCGTGTTGCTGTATGACCAGTATATTTCACCGAGGTGATAAGCTCAAACTTTTCTTCACAACATGAAAAACAAAAATGGATCATGAAAAGATTTACCCCAAAGCTTCACTTATATTCCTCATATCAATCTTAATAAAATAATGTTTCTACATCCAACACCATAAACTTAGCAATAATAAAGAATCTTCATTTAGCAGGAGTTTTACATAGTTTTTAAGGAATTTCATATCTTTTTGTTGTTTTAGAGCAGGGGTCCCCAAACTACGGCCCGCGGGCCAGATCCGGCCCGCCTCCTCATTTGGTCCGGCCCCCTGAACAATACCAGAGAGCATTCAGTGTTTTTTTTCATATATATATGTGGATTTTTCTTCAACCACCAGGGGCGCTCTTGAGCAGATATGAAACTTAGTTTCCCTCAATGGAATATATACTAGCCCTGCGACAGACTGGCGACCTGTCCAGGGTGTACCCTGCCTCTCGCCCGGAACGTTAGCTGGAGATAGGCACCAGCACCCCTCCCGACCCCACTGAGGGACAAGGGTGTTCAGAAAATGGATGGATGGATGGAATATATACTAGTCAGTACCAGTCACCGTTTCGCTCACGGTTTTTTTCCATTTGCATTCTGGGTAAAAATCTATCTACAAACGCGAATATGTCGTCGTCGTCGGCAGTAATCCAATCCCCCCACCAGCCCCCGACCAGAAAAGGGAACAGTCATGTGGCCCTCGCAGGAAAAAGTTTGGGGACCCCTGTTTTAGAGCAACACAATTGTTATTAGTCAGGCTATCTGCACATGTAGCCTGACTATGTGTCAGGTACTTCACAGGCAACTTTTAAAACAGTTTAACCTCCATATGACGCGTGGTACTTCTTTAGTTTCCAGAGCATGACTGTCCATGTGTGACCAAATATTTCAAAATGACTGAATCTTCTTTCTCGTAAGCGTGGGATTAACACTCCGACATAATTCATCTGTAATCCTGATGTCAGCTCTGACTGACGTAGACGGGTGATGAAAACCGCTATTTTGTTCACAGAGAGCCGTCCGCCTCCACGGCGTGTCATGTGATTGGTCAGAAGTTTGTTGCCTTGTTTTATGCAGAAACAGAAATGACGATATTTTACTTTAATTAGTCCAGTAGCTGCTCTGAGTCTCTGTCGTCCTGCAGCAAAGCGGCTGCAGTCAGACCACCACAGAGCCGTTCCACTTCATGTTCACATTGCAAATGAGTCACTTGTGCAAAGCTCAGAAACAATCAATCGATCGATCAATGCTCGCTATTCCAACTCCTGACTCTCCACCAGGGGTCGTGTCTGAGTGACATGGTTTCACTCCTGAACCGGGTCTGAGTGACGCATCAACCAAGCTCTACCGTTATAACCAGGAGGAAAATTCAACTGAAGATTCAACCCTAAGAGGGCAGCACTGAGGCGGATTAAGGCAGAACATTGCTGACTTCAGCAAGTTAACATGAAAATGTCATAATTTACACAGAAACATAAAGATTTCCCCCTTCAGGACCAATTTGGATGGTTTGTCTGGGTCTAGTTACACTTTAACGTTTTAGGGGCTTCAGGAATGAAGAGCTCGTACTCCGTTGGGCCCGTTTCTGCATTTCCACTTTACAAAATGAATTCATGGAGTTTGCCAGAGAAAATCATGCAAACTGGGTGGAAAAACAAAAGCCACGTCGTGCACACACTTAGTTTAACTCGGCAGTAAAGGACTTGTGCCAGACTGCTGCCTTTCTGGCGTGAAATGTAGTTTTTAGTGTTTTAGAAAGTCTGCAGCTGGGGACTCGCCAAGAGCCAGCAGGGAGATGCAGCTGCATGTTCAGCCCATTAGGACGGAGGTTTGGGTTTTTTAAATCAGCTGCATTTCAGGGTAAAGATGAAGCTGTAGGTAGACAGACGGTATCACTTTAAAGCCTTCACTCCTCTTTTTAAATCCAGAGATCATTGTAGGGAATCTTCAGCAGCACTTGAGGTGAGCTCCTCTGCTTTTATGAGGTGCAAAGTGAGGTATTACTCCCTGAAAGCGTTCAGCTGCCTTTCCTCAGGCGAGTTATTCTCTGAAAATATTCCTGTTCTGGTGTTTATGACTTGAAAAGTGCCCCTGCAATTGACCGATCGCCTTTCTTGGCTGAAAATTGCTGACTTAGAGGCAAATATTGCCAAAGTCTGAGTGGCTGGTTTCAAAGCCAAAGTCAAAATTTTTTGTGTTTTTTTTAATGCATTCATATCATACAACTCATTCCTGCATTTTTTATGCAATACCAACAGAACAGAAGATTATTATTTTAAGTTTTGTTTTATAAAGTTTCTGTCTTTGAAAGTGATTTAAATATAATCAGGATTCCCAACAAAGACGAGTAGCTAAAAAAATATTATTCTTTTGTTCCAGAATGTGACAAGAAAATAATAAAAGATAAATTCAACAGCAGCATTTCATTATATCAAGATGCAAATTTCATTATAAGGACATAGTTTCTTGTTTTAACGATATATAAAACTACGTCCCTCTGACAGATTACGCTTGTTAAAAAAGCTCAGAGTCTTTATGATTCTCCTTCTACTCGCTGTTTCTTCTTGCTGACGTCTATAAATTCCAAGTGGTTTTGCTGTTTAACTTTCTTATTTAAAAGAAAATAAATATTTTGATTTTAATAAGATATAAATCAAGTTTTTTGCGACTGAATTTATTTTCAATCTCTGACAGTGAAAAGCTTCCATATAAATCTATTCAAACTGCTTGTCTCTTATTTTGGTCAAACTGTTTGTTGAATGGTTGGATGATGAAGCTTACATCCCGTCTAAGAGCTGCGGCCGTTTTCACCACCTCGTCACGCCGCCTCGATCTTCAGACGGCTGGTTCTGACTCCGCTGCGCCTCAGGACTGGAGCCGTCGTTTAGTTTCAGCGTCAGGAGGGACGGCGTAACAAATCACTAAGCCGTTCCAAACGCCTCAACTGGTCCCAACGCCTCAACTGGTCCCAACGCCTCAACTGGTCCCAACGCCTCAACTGGTCCCCAACGCCTCACCTGTCCCAAACGCCTCAACTGGCCCCAACGCCTCAACTGGTCCAAACGCCTCAACTGGTCCAAACGCCTCAACTGGTCCAAACGCCTCAACTGGTCCAAACGCCTCAACTGGTCCAAACGCCTCAACTGGTCCTCAACACGTCTACCTGTTTACTAGACCTGCACTTCTGGTGAAACTTTATGATAAAAACGCAAATAGTGACCAAATATTTCAACCTGGAGTTTTTCTGGAACAAGATGGAAATTTTTCATTTTAAATACAAAATGTTTTTATTTTGTGTTCAGTTTTGGGTGTGTTGTCCTCTCAGCAAATGGGACTTCTTAGAGTTTGTATACTTCAATGAATGACTAATAGTTGACGATAATTTTAGTAATTGATTAATCATGATTAAACCAATTAATTGTTTCAGCTCTACTCCTAACAATCTGTAGATATAGTTAGTTAGAGAGCAAAGTGGAGCTTTGTAGAGAAAAGCATCTCACAGGCGTGTTGATGGAGCTTCAGGTGGATTTTCCTGTGGAACTGAAGCTCAGGCTGGCAGGGGGGCAGAGTCATAAACCTGCCAAAGGCTGCGCCACCTACAGTTCAACTTGCATCGCTGCAGCCCTACAGATTGTCAAGGTGAAAGCTCTCAGCTGTGCCAACTCTTCAATCCTAATTTATTTCATGCAGCACTCCAGGTTTTAATGGACAGTCCTGCGTGGTAAAGAGACTGCAGAGGAGCATCAGGATGCACAGCAGCGTCTGCATGCAGCTGCTGCTTTTTAATCACTCAACATGAGAGCAGAAAATCATCAGCAAACATTCAGAACTCAACAAGATGTTTTTCTGAATATCTGACTGGTGGTTTTGAGCCGTCAGACTTTCTGCGCTGAGGTCGAAGCAGCTGGAAAACTGCTTCTCATCTTTTCTTCTTTCTTTCTCTGGCTTGGATCAAAACAATGTTAGGATTCTTTGATCTCTCGTCTTTTCCAAGAACAACGTAATATTTGCCTCATCTGGTGGCACTTTGATCCCAGTGATCATTTTTATGGTGAAATCTCTGATGCAGATCACTTCAATGTTAAAAATACAAACATTTAAGTGTTGCTTTAGGAACTCCCTCCAGTAAATGTAATGAAAGCACTCCCTCAGGAGGAATTTATACGAGGAGATGAAGGCAGGCTGACAGATTTCAGCATGAATCTGATTCAGATCTCTGGAGGTGCAGAAACCCAGGAGTTCATTGAGGCTCAGTAAACCGGAGAAGTCAGACGCAGTGTGGGAGAAAAAGCAGCAGCTTGCTGTGGATCTGTTCGGAGGATGCAGCATCATCCATCTGCTTTCTGATGGATGATGAAGAAAAGTCCTGCAACAAAAAGTTCAAAAAGAAACCCAACATCTGTAAGAGTTTCTGCAAAGTGTTTCTCAGAATCAGTCGGAGAGAACGGATGAATGTTGGCATTACTGCTGGACCTGAGAATGTCACATCAGCAGTTTCCTTTAGTCATATTATAAATAAAACGTGATTTAGTTTGAGTCACTATTAAACTTCAAGAATTCACATTCAGTTACATTTCTGTTAAAATGCAGTTGAATAAAATATGAGGCCGTCTTTCAGGTCCGCTAACGGCTTTAAGGTGAAAAATTTATTCACGTCTGTGTGAAATATTTATCCAAAATGTAAAGTTCATGTGGAAAAGAAACAAATGAGCTTTTGTTAAAGACAATTTAAAAGTTTTGTTTGGGTTTGGTATGATGACAAAGTTTTATCAAAAAACATTTAATATTAAACCTCTGAATGTTTCCAGCTTGTCTCAACTTTTCAACTAAAACAAAACGAGTATTATTTCTGTCAAAGTTTCTGTACAATGGAGTATTTATTTTATGAATTATGAAAATAAAGTAATTATTTCTCTTTTTGTGTTATTCCAAAAGCCAGAAATTACAAATCAGCCAAAAAAGAAAAAATGAAACCCATTTCTGTTCTAAATATTCATATTTCCATAAAGAAAATGATGGTTTAAAAGGTTTTTTCTTTCAGCAGAGCAGCTGAAATTACGACCCTCATGAGGATTGTAATTGTAGAGAATGAAAGCCAAGTTTAGTCTAAAACACAGAGAAGCCGTGAAAACAAAAGCTAATTGTGCTAAAACAAATGGATGACAAAAGCCAAAATGTGAATAAGGGATAATTAGAGTGTTGTGTTAAACTAAATCAGGTTTAATAAAGTTGCTCTGAAGTAAAACAGTCTTCAGAAAAGGTGAGTAACAAGAAAATCCTGCACCTACTTATCCAGCTCTTAGCTTGGTCTTAAAAACAAAATGTTTTATAAGTGTTATTTTTGTTCCTGGAGGGTTTTTCCAGAAACTACGTGTAAATATTCAGGTTTACCTGCAGTTTGAAGCATCTCAACAGTCTGAGTTATTCCTGTTGTGTTCCCTCCCAGAGGTTTGGTTCTCTGATTTCCAAATAATTGCCTGATGTCGAGTTGTTACCGCAGATTAAAAACTCATTGAGGAAGCAAACGATGCCAGTTTGTCTCCTGCCAACTCATCTGTTCAGGATGACAAGCAGCATCCATCATCCATCCTCTGGATTTACAGCCAGACATCTCCAACTCTGACACGCAGACGTCTTCTAGACAGATGCGATTTTAAGTTGCTGGGCACACGAAACAGATAAAAGAAAAAATTTCAGGATGTGATCCAGAACTGGACTGAGCTGCAGGTCAATCCGGGTCCAATCCGCACATTTTCTGGCCGCATTCAACACCAGCTCTGTTCAAATAGACCTGAGTGCTGATTTTCTACACATCATTAATAATTACAACGTTCAAAGTTTATGAAGTATGCAAGCAGCTCTTTGAGCATGTTTTGCCCATGCCCAATTAAATATAACTGCAAATGAAAAATGTTTTCTACTAAATTATTGCTCAGAAACATAAAAACTGAGGCAGAATGCTAACGTTGTCCCAGAACCTCAGAAAACTTTGTGCAGTGATTTGTGAAGAGTCAGATGGTCAGAGAGAAAAACTGTTACTAAACCATTAAAACATCTAAAACCCAGTTAATGTTGTAGAACAGAAAGTTTCTGATACTTACTGCTGACACTATATTACACCATGTGATACTGACGAAATGTAGCACAAGGTTTCCACTAATGCGCTAGCAGCACTAATGCGCTAGCAGCAGAGCTCATTTTTAACTGCAGCGCTTTTGCTAGCTTTAAAAACGTTTGGCACACTTAGCTTCCCATAAATTAGTTTTTCCAAATAAATTCTACTGCGCTAATGTTTGGCTGTTAACATCTATGTTAAAGTTTTTGTTACACACAAATAAGTATTGTTCAAGTAGTTAGACATTCTTATTCATGCTCTTATTTTGAAGGGTTAAGACTGTTTACGTAGCAGTTCCATTTTCTTCTTCTCACATTCTTTTTTTTCGGTAACTTTGTTTCAACAAGAAACATAAACACAATATTTTAAGGGCATTATAGGACATGTAAATTATGGGTTGTAGCCATATGGAATAGCAGATATAATTTGAATTCAAGTCAGCGCTCTAGCATTAGCTTCTGCTAAACACAGTGTTAGTGTAGTGCTGTAGCGCTAGCAGAGCTAATGCTTAGGATTAGGGCATAAGGCTAGCAAAACTAACATTTCTTGTTATTTTTAACATACAAAATCCCAAGCAGAAACATAATTCTGACATTACAAGGATTACAAGTTTGCATTTAGTCAATACAATAATTTAGCAGCAAAAAGCAGTTTTTGAATCGAGTACATTGCTTATTTTGTTGATGGCTGTTTTTTGTTTTTTTTTTGATTAATTACAGATCCTACAATTACTTTCTTTAAATTTTTTAATCGAGTTTCTCCCCTAAATCTTTTTCAGCTAAGAAGAGCCAGTCATCTGTTTGCTCACACACAGTTTGAGGAAATATAATGAACTGCTATTTTCCTCAATGAGCTGCTGACTGTAGCTGAATCCACCAATCACAGTCCAGAGTCAGGCCACGTTTCCAGGAAGCGGACAGGTTGCTAAGGAAGATGACTGCAGCCTGCCTGCTTTCCTTACGCTGCGACGTGGAGCAGCATTAATCACCAGCCCCATCAGACAGGTGGAGTCATTTTTGTGCTGCGTCAGCAGATATTTCAAGGTGATATTAAATCATGTTTGACAGAAGTGAAGAAAATCTGCTGTGATTTGTTAGTTTCTTCTCATACGGAACCAATTTGTCTTGAGAAGTGCAGCGATGAGCCGGTCCTGCCCTCAGCGGTCCGTTGTCCTTTTCCACCACGGAGCAACGAGTTTCTAAAGCTTAAAACAATAAACCGGTCCATGATTCTAGAGGTTAACGTGTTCTGGCAGATTAAACAAAGGTTTCAGGTGTCTGACTGGCAGCGTGTTTAAACTGAGATGCACAGAGGTGAGGCTTTTCATCTGGGGCTCCAGCAGTCACTCACTCAAATAAAAATAAAGTTTTTAAGCCAGGAAAGGTGAAAATGGACGTTCCCCCGGAAACGGCTCTAATTAAACCGGCTGCTGATGTTTCTGCCATGTGCAGCGAGGAAATGTGCTGAGTGTTGATGAAGGAGGAATCTGGTGCAACTCCCAACCTTTCATCAGGTAGAGGTTGCAAAGTTTCCTGCTGCAGCAGTTCATCGTCAGGGCAACGCATGACAACAACTCGAGCGTTTGAAGTAGCATGCTCAGTTTCTCGCAACCCAAAAAAACTTGAATCCATCTGAGAGGGGAAAGGAGAGCTCAGTTCATGGAAAAATCAGTGAAAGTCAGAAGGACAGAGACGGAGAAACATCTCAGCCCCAGACTCTGATGGAGCGCATGCAGCTAAAATAATCAAGCATGATCCCATCAGTCAGTCACCGCTGAGAGAGCTGGCGAACTGTGAAGCATGAAACACAGCAAGCTGTTCCCCATGTGGAAATGTCACACCCAGCAACCCAGGACTGAATTCATTCAATCTGCATTTGATTGGATTTCATAAAGTGACATTTTACTGTGGAAACGTTGTTAGAGAGCTGGATGATGTTAGGAAACCATGTAATGTGATGATGCTGGCGAATGTTGCAGGATTAATGTAAATCTGCTCTGAGTCCAGAAACAATCTGCTCAAAAAATAACATTAATTTAAATTTCCACCGTTGAAAAAGTTGCTCCTGGTAAATTGACGTGGGTGATACAGACTTAAAATTTCATCATGATATTTTGTGTGATTT